CCACGCACCTTCCCGTAGCTCCCTCCCTCGCTTGCCCCTCCTTGCTCTCCGTGCGTCGCCGGTCGCTTACGTGCCACTCCCCACTCCTCCTCCCTTCGTCCGGCCACCGCTCCCTTCGACACTCTCCCCTTGGACGTCTGGGGCCCTGCCCCGACGCAGGGGTCTGGGAGGGAGCGTTACTTTCTCGTGGTCGTCGACGACTTCTCCAGGTACACCACAGTGTTTCCTCTTGCGAAGAAGTCCGAGGTGACTGCTATGCTGATCAGGTGGCTTCTAGCCACTGAGGGCACTCGTGGTCGTCGAGTCAGTTGTCTTCACTCCGACCGTGGGGGCGAGTTTTGCTCCGGCATTCTCGGCGGATTCTGCGGCGAACAGGGCATCACCCAGTCCTGGACGCTGCCAGAGTCCCCACAGCAGAATGGGGTTGCTGAGCGTCGTATAGGCTTGGTCATGGACATCGCCCGCACGTCCATGATTCATGCCCGTGCGCCCCATTTTCTGTGGCCTCACGCGGTTCGCTACGCCGCATACCAGCTGAACCTCCAGCCGCGTGTCTCGCGGCCCGAGGCTTCACCGACCAGTCTCTGGACTGGATCCACTGGTGTTGGGTCGGCCTTTCGAGTCTGGGGCTGCCTTGCACTTGTTCGCGACACCTCCGCGGACAAGCTCTCGGCACGCGCCGTCCCCTGTGTCTTCCTTGGTTTCCCAGTGGACTCTGCCGACTGGTCCTTTTACCACCCTCCCCTCCACCAGTTCCTAGATTCCCGTGACGTCCGGTTTGACGAGTCCGTGTCCTACTACACCCGGTACCCCTGTCGAGGTCTCCCGGTACCCCCTCCCCCTCTCTTCCTCGGACCCTCTCCTCCTCCTGCTCCCGCTCCTCCGGTTCCCCCGCCCCCCCCTGGTCCTGCCCCGTCTGGTGTGTCCCACGCTACCCCTCTCCCCTCGGTCGCGCGTCAGGTAGCGTCTCCCTCCCCGCAGTCCTCCTCACAGTCCCCTCAGCAGCCTTCGGCACTTCCGCGACAGGTTCCTGTGGACTCGGTTGGTGTTGGAGCTGGAGGTGCAGCCGCTGGCGGTGCTCGGTCTGGGGGTGCTCGGTCGCGGGGTACTGGAGCTGGAGGTGCTGGCGCAGGTGACCCTAGCTCTGGGGGTGCTGGAGCTGGAGGTGCTGGCGCAGGTGGCGCTAGCTCTGGGGGTGCTGGAGCTGGAGGTGCCGGCACTGGAGGTGCTGGTTCTGGGGGTGCTGGAGTTGGGGGTGCTGGCACTAGCGGTGCTAGTTCTAGGGGTGCTGGAGTTGGAGGTCCTGGCACTGGCGGTACTGGTTCTGGGGGTGCTGAGTCTGAGGAGACTGACGCTGGAGACCCTGGTTCTGCGAAGTCCACCCCGCCCCCCCACCGCCACGACACGCGTCTCCAGGCTGCCCGTCGGCGTGAGCGTGAGGAGCAGGAGCGGTTGGAGAGGGAGCGGCAGGAGCTGCGGGTGCTGGACCTTCTGGAGGAGCAGTAGCAGCAGCAGCAGCAGCAGCAGCAGCAGCAGCAGCAGCAGCAGCAGCAGCAGCAGCAGCAGCAGCAGCAGCAGCAGCAGCCGCAGCCGCAGCCGCCACCGCAGCTTCCTCTAGAGCGGCGGTTGTTCCCACCTGTGAGTGGCCTGCGGGCCCTTGGCCTTTCCTCCTCTCCTCCTGTCCGCTCCCAGTCTCCTCCTGTGTTTGTTCCTCCGTTGCCTCCTCCTGACGACCGTCCGGCGGTCTGGTCTTCTCCTCCTCCTCAGTCTCCTCCTCCCTCTGTCCGTCGCGACTTGATCACTCGTTGTCCTCCGCGTGCTCGTCACTCGTCCCCTGTTACTGACCTCCACACTGCCCTCCTTTGTTCGTCTCGTCGTCGTTCTCCTTCTCCTGTGTCCGTTCTCTCGTCTCCTCCTCCGTCCTCTCTACCTGCCCTCCCCACTCCTATCTCTGACTACTACCGCGCTGTTCGTCCTGTTGCCGCACGTGTCCTCACCACTCTTGTCACCGACCCTCGTTTCCCTCCGTCGTCTGTCTCGGCTCTCACTGCCGCTGTCGCTGAGTTTGCTGCCGCCAGCCGCCTTGACTACGCCACCCGTGTGGTGCCAGCTCCTCCCTACCGTCCTCTGTCCGTCGGGGGTGGGTTTGCCCTTGGCTGTGACGTCCTAGAGGACAGAGAGTCTGAGATGGAGTACTGGGCAGCCGCTTCTCCCTCTGTGTGTGCCATGCTGCTCTCCCCTGAGGGAGACCCCGACGCCCTTGACATACCGACTCCTCGCACTTACCGCGAGGCAGTGTCAGGGGCGTGGGCCTCTCAGTGGAAAGCGGCTATGGACTTAGAGTTGGCGTCTTGGAGATCCACAGGCACCTACGTCGACGCAGTTCCCCCTCCCAGGGCGAACGTAGTCGATGGCATGTGGCTCTTCAAGGTGAAGCGGCCGCCTGGAGCACCGCCGGTGTTCAAGGCGCGCTACGTGGCTAGGGGTTTCAGTCAGCGTGAGGGAGTTGACTTCTTCCAGACCTTCGCCCCGACCCCGAAGATGACTACTCTTCGGGTGTTACTCCACATAGCAGCGCAGCGAGACTACGAGCTGCACTCCCTCGACTTCTCCACTGCGTTCCTCCAGGGCCGACTGCACGAGGAGATCTGGCTGCGCCGTCCTCCTGGCTTCACTGACACCTTCCCACCTGGGACCCAGTGGAGCCTTAGGCGACCAGTCTATGGTCTCCGCCAGTCGCCCCGTGAGTGGCACGACACTCTTCGCTCCACGCTTCGTGACCTTGGGTTCAGCCCGTCCTCCGCCGACCCGTCGCTGTTTGTTCGAGCGGGTTCTACTCCTTTCTTTATCCTTGTCTACGTTGACGACTTGGTGTTTGCTACAGCAGACAGGGCAGCCCTGGCTCAGGTGAAGTCCGAACTGCAGAAGAGACACAAGTGCACTGACCTGGGTGAGCTGCAGCGCTACCTTGGCCTGCAGATCACCCGGGACAGAGCCGCTCGCACCATCACACTGACGCAGTCACACATGGTGCAGCAGGTCCTTCGGCGGCTCGACTTCCAGTTCTCCACCACACAGCCCACTCCTCTTGCTGTTGACCACAGACTCACGGGCCCCTTTCCTGACGAGCCCTTTGAGTCCAGTGGACCCTACGCAGAGCTGGTGGGCTGCCTCATGTACCTGATGACTTGTACTTGACCGGACCTCGCCTTTCCACTCAGCATCCTTTCTCGCTTTGTTGCGACTGGGAGACACCGCCCTGTCCACTGGACAGCTGCTGTGAGGGTGGCGAAGTACCTGGCGACTACATCAGGCTTGGGGCTTGTGCTTGGAGGGACTCAGCCAGTGGCGTTGACTGGTCACTGCGACTCTTCCTACGCTGACGACGTGGAGACTCAGCGTTCGACTCAGGGTTACTGCTTCAGTCTGGGAGCTGGTGCTGTGTCGTGGAGGTCTACACGGTCGTCGTCTGTGGCTACTTCCAGTGCAGAGGCAGAGATCTACGCTGGTGCCATGGCGGCACAGGAGCTTCGCTGGTTGACCTTCTTGCTCGCTGACCTTGGTGAGCGGCCTCGCTCTGCACCGACCTTGTACGCTGACAACAAGGCCATGATCCTCCTGTGTCGAGAGCCTCGACTAGAGAGCAGAGTGAAGCATATTGACGTGAGGTACTTCCTCCTGCGAGAGCTACAGCGACGCGGTCAGGCACGCCTGGACTTTGTGGCCTCAGAGGCCAACACTGCAGACGTCTTCACCAAGGCCTTGGCGCTTGGTGACCACCACAGGTTCTGTGTCCAGTTGGGGCTTGTTGAGGTAGGCCCTCGGTTGCTGTAGTCCTGTTGCTTGCTCTGCTTGTTGTGCTTTGTATTTATATCCTAGTGAACTCTTGAACTGGCCTTGTGGCCGCTTGCTTGCGCTCGGAATTTGTGTGGTGTCCTTGAGATCCACCCTGAGCTTGCCTTGGTTCTTGCTTTGACTGGTCTTGTGACCGTTTGTTCACCTTGCTTGCTTTGATGCCCCTCACTTAGCCTATGGGGGTGTGTCAAATGTTGAACATTGATATGATAGGCTATAGTGAGTTGCACTCTAGGGGGTACAGCTTCTAGGGTTGCTCATTTGTACCCCATTCGTTTCTATTCCAATCATTCCGTTGTCCGCTAACTTTGAGACATAGCACGCAAGTGAAGGATATGAGGCTTATCTTATGAGCGAATGCATCTCATCATATTCATATAAGGGCCTCTCCTACGATACATTGGTGGATTACTATGCTTTTCCGAGAGTGGTTTTCGAGATTACTAGGATGGAATAAGGAAATCGAATTTTCTGCTAGGTCAGGTGTTCTAATCTGACCAAGCAGAAAAGTTCTGATGTATCTGTGGATAACATGGAATGTAGTGAGGAACTGCGCTAAACACACAATGCATCTATATGTGGATGTTCCCAAAATCGAGCCTGTCAATACCAGGGATTTCTCTGGAATTCTCTTGACGGAGTAAGCCAACGAGTCAAACGCTCCAGAGTCAACCAGTCTCCCCCGAACACTCCAGCCGACAGTCAGCGTGAATCAAGCTTCAGCAGTCAACAGGCACGAATGGTGAGCCTGGTCTTGACGAAGGGGTGTCGCGTTACCACTTTTGTCGTGAGTTCGAGCATTTTCTGCTGAACCTTTGGCGTCAGCGAAAGAAAATCGTCTCGCAAGAGCTCGCGGTAATCGTTGATCGCCCAGAAATCTGAGGGTGTGGATGTTCCTGTGGTCTCCTCGTGCGCTTCGGTCTTCAGCACACATAAATTGTGGTGCCACAATACTCGGCTCATCGGTCAAAATTGTTGGGAGATCCTTCTAACTTGTATCCCACCCTGTCCTGCATCAAGGTACCAGGGTTTGTTTGAACAGCTATTGCTACAGCAGCACACGTGACGTGCCTGTGAATGAGTCGCAGGACTTAGGAGATTCCGCATTTTCCGCTTCTCTCAACCGCCTGATGCATCGGCGCATGATGGCGGGTTCGCCTGGCTCGCGCTGCAAGGGCACCAATGCCCTACTCACGCTTCTCCTGCTGCTAGGCGCTGCGCTGCTCTGCTTCCCAAGCGCGACAAACGGCGCGAGGCACGCGGCGCTTAGGTCACAGGGAGTGGTATCGAATAGCCGGACCATAGCGCACATATGGACATCAGGAAGCACGTTCCTTCGTGGCAATATCAACGCCGGCAAAAGGAGTGGCAGCACTGCAGTTGCTGCTACAACCACCGGCGCTACAACCGCCGCTGCTGGCTCCGCGGCTGCTACAACCGCCGCGACGGGCTCGGGTTGCGCGGCGTCGGCGCTGGAGGGGTTCGCGTGGTCGGCGGCGCTGGGGTCCACTGGACTCACGCTGCATTGGCGCGCAGTGGACTCGTCGCGCCTCGCCTTGGCGCTGGAAGCGGCGGGCGGCAGCGCGGCAGCGGCGGGGTGGTTCGCCGTGGGGTGGTCGGCGACGGGCCGCATGGCGGCGTCCGACGCCGTGGTGGGCAATCTGGCGGGCGGCGCCGTCCAGGCGGTGTACATGAGCGGCACGGCGCAGAGCGACGTTCAGCCCACAAGCAGCTTCGATATTGGCAACGCGCAGCTCGCCACGTCACCCTCGGGATCCACCGTTCTCAAGTACGCAACGATGGTTTTCTGAGAAATCTTTATTTGCGGATTTGGAAGGAGGACTCATGGTTTAGGGTTCAGGGTGAGTGTCAGCCTTTTTTTAGGGTTTGGGCTCCGGTTTGACTCTCCCACCCACACACTCATTCTCTGCTGCCATCTCTCTCCCCCCCCTTCCTCCCCTCTCTCTCGTTGCAGGTTCAACCGCTCTGCAGGTGACGGCTCAGTGCCGGTGAGCGTGCAGGGAAGCAACACGCTCTTGTGGGCGCACTCCGCAGATGGCTCTCAGTCCCTCGGCTTCCACGCCGGATATGAGTGAGTGCATCTCTGAAAAGGATGAGGGAGTGAGTGAGTGAGTGCAGCAGTTAAATGCAGGGCATGAGTGAACTTGTGAAGGGCAAGGGTGAGTGGCTGCAGACCCTTGGCAGTACATTTCATCTCGGATTTCCTTCCAAGTTTACCCGCTGATGATTCTTTTCATGCTCCTGCTTTTCCGTTTCTCCACACTCATCCACTTCCTTTCCCACTTTGTTCCTATCACCCTTTCTCTCTCTCACTCTAACTCTCTCTCCCCTTCTCCCCCTCGCCCCTCCTCCCCCTCGCCCCTCCTCCCAGTGGCGCGCTGCAAGTGGACTTTGCGTGCTCCTCTGCCTCGTCCGGAGGGGGAGGGGGTGGCGGAACTGGTGGGGGTGCGGGGGGGGGCACTGGCGGAGGCACGGGGGGTGATTATGGGGGTGACTACAACGGGGGGAACAACGGGGGTGGTGATTACAGTGGTGGTAACGGCGGCGGTGATTATAACGGGGGGAACGGAGGAGACTATGGGGGTGGCAGTGGCGGTGGGGGCAATGGCGGCGGAGGTAACAGAGGTGGAGGCGCAGGAGGCGGAGGAAGGGGAGGCGGTGGGGGGGACTGCAGGAGAGGGCCTGGAGGCGGACAGGGGGGAGCTGGGGGCGGAATGGGGGGACCTAGGGGCGGGCAGGGCGGACCTGGAGGCGGACAGGGGGGTCTTGGCGGTGGGCAGGGTGGACCTGGTGGGGAACAGGGAGGACAAGGGGGTGGTAATGGTGGGGGGAGCAATGGCGGGGACTATGGTGTTGGTAATGGCGGTGGTGACTACAGCAGTGGCGGGGGCTATAGCGGCGGTAATGGCGGGGGCAACACAGGCGGAGGTGCTGCTTACTACAGCAGTGGCTCGGGAGGAGGAGGGTCAGGTACTGCTGGTGGTGCTGGTGGGGGCTGTGGGGGAGGGCAAGGGCAAGGCGGGGGACAGGGAGGCCCTGGGGCCGGGCAAGGGGGGCCTGGGGGACAGGGGGGACCTGGGAGCGGGCAAGGGGGAGCTGGAGGCGGGCAGGGCGGTCAAGGGGGTAATTATGGTGGGGGCAACAATGGCGGGGACTATGGTGGTGGTAATGGCGGTGGTGACTACAGCGGGGGGAATGGAGGGGACTACAGCACTGGTGGTGACTACAGCGGGGGGAACACTGGAGGGGGCTATGGTGGCGGCAATGGTGGTGACTATAACGGAGGGAGCTACACTGGGGACTACAGTGGGGATTACAGCGGGGGGATGGGCGGCAGTCAGGGCGGCAGTCAGGGAGGCCCATCTGGGGGCGGTATGAGTGGAGGTGGAGGCATGGGCGGCGGAGGCATGGGCGGCGGAGGCATGGGCGGCGGAGGCATGGGCGGCGGAGGCATGGGCGGCGGAGGCATGGGCGGCGGAGGCATGGGCGGCGGAGGCATGGGAGGCGGAGGCATGGGCGGTGGAGGCATGGGCGGTGGTGCTGCTGGCGGGGGAATGGGAGGGCCTGGGGGAGTGACTGGCGGAGGAGGCATGGGGGGAGGAGGCATGGGCGGTGGTGCTGCTGGTGGTGGCATGGGAGGGTCTGGGGGGATGGGCGGAGGCGGAGGAATGGGCGGTGGTGGGGGGATGGGAGGAGGCGGGGGCATGGGAGGGGGCGGAGGAATGGGAGGGGGCGGAGGAATGGGAGGGCCTGGGGGTGGCATGGGCGGAGGAGGAGGGATGAGGGGAGGGGGAGGGATGGGCGGAGGTGGAGGCATGGGGGGAGGAGGCATGGGGGGAGGAGGCATGGGGGGAGGAGGCATGGGGGGAGGAGGCATGGGGGGAGGAGGGGGCATGGGGGGAGGAGGAGGCATGGGGGGAGGAGGAGGCATGGGAGGGGGCAGGCCTTAGCGGTTCACAGTGGACAGGCAGGCAGGAAACCAAGTGCCTCAAGCAACTCAGTCTCAGTCAAGGCACAGAGGCGGAGAAAGCTGAGGGACAAGAAACTAGTGAAGGGAATGGCAAAGGGAATGGCAAAGGGAATGACCAAGGGAATGCCAATGGGAGTGATAAGGGAATGTCAAGGGCATGACCAGGGGAGGGGACTAGCCAGTGAATGGATGAGCTTTGATTCACCTCAAGCCCCATTGCACGTGCTGCTGAGGTGCATCAAAGCCCATCCTCCCACTCCATGCTTGTTTGTGATTTCTGGCTTTTTTGTTGTAGCTGGTTCTAGATCGTACTTCTATAGCTGTCTGCTTGTTCTTGAAGTGAGCAATTCATGAGTGTGCTTTTCAACAACGAAATATGCATGCACTTACTGTATAACTACCGTAAGTATACACATGGTTTAATCTCTACCTCCTCCTTGGTGATAATATGGGAAATGCGATACCTTAAGTTGCTCGCATTGCACAGAAGCTGTACACGCTTCTACACTGTTCATGAATTCCTATCGTGGGTTTCAGAGCACCATAGTTAGTTACATGTACCACCTGTAACCTCCTGCAGGCACTTGTACTTGGGCCACTTGGGTCCTTTATTCCCGCAGGCTCATATTCTTGCAGCGCAGCACTCAGCACTCGGGTCACAGCCAGGCTAACTGCAGGCAGCGCATGAGACTACGTTTGGTGGTGCGGAACCACGAAAATCGCGTGCCTCATGCGCAGCATTTTATCGGCTGCAGTCACAGACAGGTCACAGCAGGAGTGACCAGCAGCAGCAGCAGCAGCTGCAAGTGCCCACACTGGAGCGAGGAGGGACAGTTTCTAAGGCTTGCCATGCCATGCCCAGTATCTTGCATCTAGTATCCCTGTTGCGTACGACTTCCTGCAGTGATCCCTTTTCGCCTTTCTCCCTCACTCGTTTCGAAATCGCACCCTCTCATTACTCCCACATCACTCATTCCCATACCTCTCACTCCCCATATCCCTCACTCCCATATCCCTATCTCTAATATCACTCACTCCCATATCACTCATTCCCATGTCCCTCATTCCCATATCCCCCACTCCCATATCCCCCACTCCCATATCCCTCACACCCATATCCATCACTCCTATATCCCTCACACCCATATCCCTCACTCCCTAATCCTTCACTCCCAGATCCCTCACTCCCATATCCCTCGCACCCATATCCCTCACTCCCATATCCCTCACTCCCATATCCCTCACTCCCATATCCACCACTCCCATATCCCTCATACCCATATCCCTCACTCCCATATCCCTAACTGTCCCACATCCCTCACTGCCGTATTCCTCACTACCATATCCTCCACTCTGCTTCAGCCTAACTGCTCTTGCTTCTGTTTCCTGCCATTCCCTCAGCATTCCCAGCTCCCCGCCTGTGCAGTTCTACTTTCAACGTTTTCTTCAGCCGCTGCTTCAGCCATTTCTTCAGCTGTAAGATCAGGCAGTTGGCCCAGAGGCCCATCAAGGCCAGCATCTCCTGAAGCAGAACCGGCAGAAGTTGTAGCAAGTATAGCTCTACCACGAGCAGCACGAGCAGCACAAGCAGCAATGATGAACAAGTTCAGTGTTAATACCACCTTTCCCAACACCACCACCAGTTCCACCACCACCACCACCACCACCACCACCACCACCACCACCACCACCACCACCACCACCACCACCACCACCACCACCACCACCACCACCACCACCACCACCACCACCACCACCACCACCACCACCACCACCACCGCCGCCGCCGCCGCCACCACCACCACCAGCGCCACTGCCACCACCACCAGCAGTAGCATGCAGGGTCGTCTCTCGTCACCACCAACATCACTAGACGGCCCGTCTCTCGTCCGGATATTCCTGAACATGCAACGGAGACATAAGGAGCCGCAACCTTCGCCAACTAGCAGGAGGGGATGGAGCTCTGCCAAGTCTCACCTGTTTAGTGCAGGAGTGGGGGTAATTCAGGGACGGGGGGGCGGAGGATTGGGTGGGGGATGTGGTGGGAGATGGGGAGTGGGAACGGATGGAACGCAGTTTGGTTTGGCTAGGGATACGTGGTTGTGATGATGGGTGGTTGGGGAGTGGGGTGGGGGGGAGAGGGGAGTCGCATGCAAAGCATGGAGGTCGGGGGTTCTTTCAACCGCTACAGCAGGTCAAGCATAGTGTATCTTGCAAGATGCAAATATGCAAGGTGGGTTGTACAATGGTTTGTGATTCCTCTGAAACCAAATGCAGAAGGATTAGCCAAAGCGCCATGATGTCTATGGTTTCATATTCTATGGATCGTCTATGCCTTGTCGCATGCTCTTCATTGTATGAATCATGTGAGGCTTCTCTACGCGGTATCAAAGCTTGCATATGCATTTGCGAATAGGTGGGAAAGTTGAGTTTGTGCTAAACAATTTCATGTGTGCGAACTGAAGTAAAAGCTTTTGTATTGAAGTGTCTATCATTTTCTTTTCTCCACTCCTATCATCCGAAGTTGAGCTTGTGAATAACCGGTATTTCTATGGGATTCACTAGACAGGAACTTCGAATGAGTGAACTCACCCAGAGTCAACGAGCCTCCTCCGCAACCTCCAGCCGACAGTCACCTAGAGCAGGTACCAACAGCATGTGGGTTCCAGCATATTCACTGCTACGTAAGTCATTACTGCAAGAGGCACACGACGGAGTTACCTCGAGCCACTTCGGGGCAGAGAAAACACGACAATTCCTGCAACGGTATTACTACTAGCCGGAGCTATTAACGGGCGTACAACACCATGTATAATCATGCCCCACATGCCAAGTGATGAAGTCATTACTGAAAAACAATTGGGGCAACAGCAGCCGATACCGCCGCCCGAATGTGCCTGCCCGCAAGTGACCATGGATTTCGTCACGAGGTTACCAGCACGTCCTGGTGGTAACAACGCGGTCCTGGTCGTCGTCGGCCGGTTGAAAAAAATGGCCCATTTTGCTGCATGCAAAAAGTTCATCTCAGCCAAATAGACTGCCCGCATGTTCATAGCAGATGTTGTTTGACTTCACAAGATATCACTAGTAGACATCAGAGATCGCGACATGAAGTTCACAAATAACTTCTTGAAAGATCTCTGAAAGCAGTTCGGCACACGCCTACAATTCAGTTCATCATATCACCTCCAGACCGATGGATAGACATAATAGACCAACCAGACCTGTCAAAAACTAAGGAGCAGGGATGATGCATTGATCAGTTATGTGGTATAAGTGCTAACCCTAATTGGGTTATACCCCATATAGGCTACCCCACTACAGCCTACACAACATAAGCAGCATTATAGTTTGACACACCCCCATAGGCAAAGAGGGGGAGAACAAGGGGTCACAAGACCACTCAAGAAAAGCAAACCAAGCTCAGGGTGGATCACGAAGTCACCACACACTCTGAGCACAAGCAAGTGGCCACAAGGCCAGTCCAACGTAGAGTTATATATATGGGAACAAGCAGTACAGTGATTACAACCTAGCAAGTGTAAGCATGTAGGTACAAGTATATAAATCACTGTACAAGCAAAGTCACGAAAGGAGAAAGTGAGGCAAAGTAGGCACAAGGCCTAAAACAGTAGGGAAACGCTGATAATCATGAGGCTGAAGTGCTTTGGTGAATATATCAGCAGTGTTGGCCCGAGTGGCCACGTAAGCAAGACGAAGCTGACCACTCTACTGCAACTCTCGAGCAAGGAAGTAACACAGAGCGATGTGTTTCGTCTTGTGCTCCAGTCTGTGCTCCTTACACAAGGCAATCATGGCCTTGTTGTCTATGTACAGAACTGGATGAGAACTAGGCCACTCTCCCAAGTCGGTCAACAGGTAGGTGAGCCAGCATAACTCCTGTGTAGCCATGGACCCTGCGTAGATCTCAGCCTCACAACTAGAGCTTAGAACAGAAGAGGAGCGGGTAGACCGCCAAGAAACAGAACCGGAGCCAAGGCTGAAAGTGTAACCCTGTGACGACCGCTGCGTAGCCAAGTCGTCAACCCAAGATGCGTCTGCGTGGCCAGTGAGAACAACTCGACTCCGTCCTCCAAGCACGAGCCCCATGCCCGACGTACTGCACAAGTAGCGTAACACCCTCTTAGCAGCCTCCATGTGCTCTGGTCGGTGTCTCCTGGGCGCAATGTAGTGTGCCAGGATGCTGAGAGGGTAAGCAAGGTCAGGTCGAGTGCAGGTCATCAGGTACATGAGGCAGCCCACAAGCTCTGGGTATGGGCCACTTGTCAGAATGTTGTATTTGTCTAGCCTGCAGTGGGGTACTCTATAGCGAGTACAGCCCAATCTAGGGTTTCCTATATGTACTCAACTGCTTGCTAGTGAACCCTCTCCTTTCTTCATTCTCGTTCACCTCTACTTTACAACATGGTATCCGACGCCTAGGTCAGGACCTAGGACCGAAGTTGGTTTGGGCCCACCGTTCCACCGCGCCGTCGAGCGCCCCTTCTCGCGCCGTCGAGCGCCCCTTCTTGCGCCGTCGAGCGCCCCTCCTAGCGCCGTCGAGCGCCCCTTCTAGCGCCGTCGAGCGCCCCTACTAGCGCCGTCGTGCGCCCTAGTGGCCGCCGCCCGTAGGCCGCCAGTACGACGCCCGTAGGACGCTGCCGTCCGTAGGCAGCCCGTAGGCAGCCCGTAGGCAGCCCGTAGGCCGCCCGTAGGCCGCTCACGCGCAGGCCGTGACCCGCGCGCCGCGGCTACTTCACGCCGACGCCTGCAGCCCGCCGGAACCCGTGCGCGTCGCCCCCCCTGCCCCTTCGCGACGCCCTTACGGGACCCGCGAGTCGCCCCCGCCTCGTCGCGACGCAGCTGCGGGACCCACGCGTCGCCCCCGCCTCGTCGCGACGCAGCTGCGGGACCCGCGCGTCGCCCCCGCCTCGTCGCGACGCAGCTGCGGGACCCGCGCGTCGCCCCCGCCCCGTCGCGACGCAGCTGCGAGACCCGCGCGTCGCCCCCGCCTCGTCGCGACGCAGCTGCGGGACCCGCACGCGTCGCCCCTGCCTCGTCGCGTCGCCCCCGCGCGCGACCCGCGCGTCCCCCCTGCTCACCGTGGCGCCCTGCTCTACCCCGCGCCCACCCTTGGGACGGCCGCCCCTGGCCTCTGGAGCAGCTGCACCTACAGCCGCCCCTGGACCCTGGAGCAGCCGCCCCTGCAGCAGCCGCCCCTGGCCACCTGGAGCAGCCACCACAGCAGGAGCCGCCCCTGGACCCTGGAGCAGCCGCCCCTGCAGCAGCCGCCCCTGGCCCCTGGAGCAGCCGCCACTGCAAGAGCCGCCCCTGGCCCCTGGAGCAGCCGCCCCTGCAGCAGCCGTCCCTGGCCCTTGGACCAGCCGCCACTGCAAGAGCCGCCCCTGGCCACTGGAGCAGCCGCCCCTGCAGCAGCCGCCCCTGACCCCTGGAGCAGCTGCCGTCGCGGCCCGGCCCCGCCCTGCAGCAGCTGCCGCGGAGCTCCCTGCCGCGGCCCAGCCCCGCCCTGCAGTTGTAGCGGCCCCGCTGTCGCCACCGTCTTGCGCCTACCGCGCCGACCACTGGTGAGCATTACCCTGCTCGCACTGCTTCCGCTGCTACTGCTATTCTGTGTGTTGCACGCCCCGTGGCGTGCGACGGATTTTTCATCCCGCCGCGCGCTCGGAGCGTGCGGCGGTTTTCTGCCCGCCGTGCGCCCCGAGGCGCGCGGCGGTTTTCTGCCCGCCGTGCGCCCCGAGGCGCGCGGCGGTTTTCTGCCCGCCGTGCGCCCCGAGGCGCGCGGCGGCTTTCTGCCCCGTCACTCCGCGCGTCGCTCCCGGGAGGCGCTGCGACGGGCGACGGGGACCCGCGCGTCGCCCCCCGTCGCCCGTCGCGGCCTGCGCGACCTGCGTAGGGCCCGCGCGCGGCCCGTACAGCCTGCGCGCGGCCCGTACGGGCTGCGCCAGGCCCGCGCGCGGCCCGTACGGGCTGCGCCAGGCCCGCGCGCGGCCCGTACGGGCTGCGCCAGGCCCGCGCGCGGCCCGTACGGACTGCGCCAGGCCAGGGCGCACCTCGGGCCGCCCGCACGCGGTTCGTACGGGCTGCGCCAGGCCCGTGGGCGCCCTGTTTTCTCTGCCCCTGCGCTGCCCGCTGTCCCCCGTGCTTCTGACGGCGCCCCACCCCTGCTGCTGCCCGTTCTCCTGAATTAGGGTTTGGGGGTGGGGGGTATGGGGGTGCAGTTTCTGTGCGTCGTCCCCTACTCCTCCTCCTCCTCCGTCTCCCAGTGCTGCAGCTGCCGCTGAGGGGGGTGGGTGTGTGGGAGCCGAAGGAGTGGTACTAGGGGGGTGACGTGCAAGTGGAGTTAGGAGTGAAGCAGTGGGTGTGTGGGGGGTGTGTGGGACAGTTGGAGGAGGTTGAGCGGAGACTGCTGTCTTGTCGTCCGCAGCACCTGTAGTCCGGGGCGCACTGTCCTGGTAGCCCAGAGAGTCTGCTGCGCCTGTCGCCCAAGGGTCCGTTGCTCCTGTAGCTCGTCGTAGCCCGTGAGCCAGTTACTCCAGTAGTCCGGGGCGCACTGTCCCGGTAGCCACTGTGCCAGCAGCTCCTGTTGCCCGTGTGTCTGCAGCTTCAGCCGCCGTCTCTCATCTTCTCTCCTCTCACAGTCCCTCCTCCTCCTCACTTGCCCGCTGTGATTACCTCTAGCTTTGCTTCTTATTGTGAACTCCTGCTATACCTGCTCATTGTGCTGATTACACCCCACTTTGGCTATGGGGGTGTGTCAGAATGTTGTATTTGTCTAGCCTGCAGTGGGGTACTCTATAGCGAGTACAGCCCAATCTAGGGTTTCCTATATGTACTCAACTGCTTGCTAGTGAACCCTCTCCTTTCTTCATTCTCACTTTCTACTGCT